TCGGGGGCGGGGACCCGGGGAGCCCCGGGATGGGCGGGGAGCCCCGGGAAGGGCTGCGCTTCCCGCCCGCTGCCGCCTCCCGTCTGGTTGGTGAAGGCTCCAATCCGGCTCTGCGTGTTCAGCCACCGAAAGCCACCCGTGTGCCCAGGGGCACTCACAGCCGGTATTTGGCAACACCACAAATCCCTCTGAACCCTTCTGAGAGCCTTAACCCTCAGAAATGAATCCTTAAGCAGGTATTTTCAAGCACAGTTCAGCTCTGCCGGGTACCTGCCCCAGCCCCCCAGCACAGCCCGCAGCTCCTGCCCCGCCAACCGCGGCGGCTCGGGCAGAAAAACCCGGTTTTAACCAGCACTGGCACCGCACCCACGTGTAAGGGAAGGCTGGAGAAAACATGAAGGATACTTCAAGCCACAACATAACTCCTGATCTTAACTCTGCAGCAAATGATCACAGCAGCAAATGCAAAAAGCCTGCTGCTAAATGCGTGCCAGGCAGGACAGCAGGGCAAGCTCTGCTAACACCGACATAAAACCTTTTAATTGCAAGATGAACATACTGTACTTACAAATGCTGAATTTTCCAACGCTGGTTTTAGAGTCAAGTTTCAGCCTGGTGCAATGCTGACGGCACAGCAAGCATCTGCTCACATCCATGTTTTCCATGTAGTTGCTCTCTTTAGACAGAGACTACAGAGATGGCAATGCCCTCTAATTGATGCTTTTAACATGTCTCATACCTTCCACATATTTAGTTTCCAATAAACTTCTAATAGCTCTCTTTAGTGATTTCAGGTGCTGACTGAGCAGCAAGCTAGAGCGACTGAAGAGTGACCAAACAGGGACAGCAGTACTCAAGAAGGCAGAAGGATTTTCAGTGCATCAGCAGATTCAGGTTAACAGGTAGGCAGCATGTCAGCTGGATCCAAATCCCATCCAAGACACATCCAATAACCAGGACTTTTGTGAGTTTTGCCAAGTGGAGGAGTCTGTACATTTGGGATCCTCACATCAGCTTTATCCAACAATGAAAGAGATTGTATGTGCCTAATGCAAAGTCACATCCACAGCCACTTCATGCTGTCAGCTGAACTGTTAGTCCACATGTCTAACTGGAGCACCAAATGAGTTAATTAGCATGAAGATACTCAGAAATCTCCTTCTTATATGTCACTGCTGTGAACTTACTAAATTATGCTATCCATGCAATTATGCTAGAGCATAATGATGTTAGGTTCAAAGGCAGCCAAAAAAACCCCTTCAGTAATTGGTTATTTCAGTCTTTTTCAGCATTTATTGCATCTCTATTGAATTTCAGACTACCTAGTCCAATTATTCAAGAGCAAGAGGAGAGGACAGGGAGAGAATAGTTTGTATGTCATGGTTCAAGATGAGTAGAAAATTGCAAAGGTGAGTTGAGAAATGTTCACAGTAGCCTTTCTTTTCAACTGTTCAAAGCCAGGCCTCTCAAGGGAATGCCTGGACTGTTCCTGTACCCTGCGAATCACCAACAGATGGACCAGGATGTATCCTTAGCAATGCAGAAAGCCCACAGTGTCCAGCTGGTTGTCTTATGCAGGGGTTTGCCCTTTCTGTCTTGGGAGGTTTTCTGGTGTATTTAGACAATGACTTAAACCCCAGTGTATCTGTGTTGAAGGACTCTTGAACAACAGCTAAGAACCTTGAATAATGGCCACTCCATACCTGTTACAGGTGCTGACAGACAACACAATAGCTTAAATGCAAAAAACGAGCCACACTTGCAAGCAAAAGTGGGGAGTCTGTCCTTTCATAACTCTGCATATGTTCTCCTAGGAGAAATGTTGAGATGCCAACTGAGGGAGTTCTGTCTCCTTCATGTCCGATGATCTCAAGAGCTGCAGGATCTGGCAGCAAGTCAGGCCAAGCAGCTTTCATGTGTCAAGTCAAACACAGACCAGATGCTACCACTTTTCGCTGCAGGCATTTATTCCTCATTAGTATTTTTTCAGTAAAACTGTTGCTTATCACAGTACAACTTCATACCCAACTGGCACAAGATGCTGTATTTACTTCCTCATAACTCATTTTCACTGTGTTAAAACTGTCTCTGGAAGCATTTTGCAGGATTCTCTGCATTGTTACTTTAACCTGCTCAGTAGGAACACTCCTTGGCACCACACTTGTGAAGGGGCCTAAGCCAGAAGATCTTGCCATCTTCCTCTGATTGCCTTAATGAAGAGCTTTGTGTTAAATCCAGTAGCACAACAGAATCTGCTGTAATCCATTGTCTTTGCCTAAACTGCTGGTTTTGTTAACTTCCAAGTTTAGGTATCAGACTTAACAAGGTTCTGAGAATTTTCTGATACCACTGATAGCAAGAGAAAATGAGGACAGCAAGCACTTAGCTAATCCAATCCTAAATTTAACAAAACCCCAATTTTTCTTCTGTCCTCATCCATCAGTCACTTAGAAGTATAGAGACAGACTCTCAGCTGTAATTCATCTTCCTCATGTAACACAGCCAGAAAAGTCCATCTGGAGGTCACTCTGGCACAGTGGAAAAACTCCACATAGTTTAGCATTAAACCAGCTGACTTTTCCTCTGCTCTGCCTGCTTGCCAAGTTGTACTTAACAGATTTTAAAAGCCTATGTGAAGATATATGCCTTCTTTGGATTATAAGAATGGTGTGACACAATGGGTGGCTCAGCAAAGCAGGGCTGTGTTCACTTACCTCCACATAAGCCAGCTTTAGAGTCTCAACATCAAGCATCCTTTCAGGCTTTATAGCGTTCCAGTAAGACAAACACTAAAGGCTCAATAACATGAGCCCTTCAAACAAAATGCTTCTGTATCTTCCTACTCATCTTGCCCTTGTAGTCGTGCACTGCTGCTTTCACTGGCTTTTTCAAAATACTGTTACTGTGTGAGCTGGGGAGCAACAACAAGATGGGCAGCAACTTTTATACTGTTTTGCAGTGGTGCAGCCCACCATCCAAAGGCATAATAGGCTCACTCTGCTGCTGGTGGTCAACAGTACATTGAAACATCAGGTAGTTGCAAATTGTGAGGCTTCATCAGTACTTCCTAAAACATGACTAAAATATATATATATATATATGTATATATCTGTAGGCATTTCAAAAACAACTTCATCACTTTGTCAGTCTTCCTCCATTTCAGCAAGCACTTCTGTGGATCCTGATGTCTCAGCAACGTTTAGAAGATGGTCCTGCCTGTGGGTCTGGACTTTGATCTCAGTATTTTTGCTATGATGATCTCATTTGCTTTTCTATCTCACCGATGTGGCAAAATTCTATAGTGACATGCCTCTGAATTTAACATTTCCATTGAAATGCAAAAATGAGTAATGTTTTTAACAAACAACATCTAAGGTTTGAATAAAAGGAAACAAGTGATGGTTATCAGTGTTTCCCTGATAAAGGAGTGGTCAGTTCTGAAATCCTGAGCCCAGCTCTGCTCTTCCATCCTATTAAATACCACAAAGAAGACAAAGGGAATGTCAGATGGAGAGAAATCAAGCTCTGCTTTCTCTCTCTGTTTTCAGAAGTAATTTAATCTCATTGAGAACCAAGAGACAGAATTTTTATTCCCCTCTGGCTTCAAGCATACAGTAGATGGCAGTAAGAAACCTCATCAGTTTAACCCGTGTCAGCACCAGGGGTGGTTCCACTGCAGCAGGATCCTTCTTGGTTATCACAGTCTTACTGAACGGAGTCGTTTTAACAGATTCCTCACCCACATGCATGTTTTGTTTGGTCTAGGTCAGTACAGCAGTTCTCAGAGTATTATTATTTGCTTATCAAATAAGGTTAACACCTGCATGATTACAGTGTGTGTACTAACTAGTTCAGTAACACTGTTAACCCTATCAATGTGCACCAATAACATTCTGTGCTAGTACAGTCAGACCCAGCCAAAACCCTGACATCCCTTCCCCAAAAGGTACACAAATAGGTACATACTCACAGATCTAAGATTAGAAATTTCCCCAAGTTATTTGCTTGCGGTTTTTTCTAAACTAATGTTACGGGTGGGTGAATTCTCCAACAACTCCACTGAGAAACATTAGTCAAGAACAAATCTTTAAAATATAAGATATCTGGCCCAGGAAAAAAAAGTAGCATTAAAACCAGGGGGGTCTTCACACACTGAGATCAACACGTTTATCATCAGCTCTGCTAGAACCATGATTTAGGTATTTGCTAATCTTAACTTCTTGAGGAGTTTAGTTAAACATGATGCACTTTTTTTACACTACACAGGAACACTGATCCTGTCGTGGTCACACCAGCAGTGCCGCCATGTCACACGTGCCCATCACAAGTTGACATACTGGACAAGCAGTGGTGATCCCCAAGCTCAACTAGAAGGCCAGCAGGGCTGGCCCATCCATGCAGCTCATCTATGCAGACTTCAGCAGCACCACAGGTCACTGATGTTTTTCCCCCACTTCTGACACACACAGATCATAAAAGGAACGTAACTCAAACATAACTCTCTTTACTCCACTTTCCTGTGTACTCAGGATGTGTCACCTGGGGATTGTTTGCTTTCAATAAAACATTATTAAAATGTTTTATAGTGCCATATTGTTACTGCCTTAGTTTTACAAACTGCAGGCAGTCTGACATAGGTCCTAGAACAGGATGGGAGTTTGGGAAGTATTTTGTATGTCAGGGAAAGGAATGCTGGAAAGACCATGCTGTGGTTACAGGCCAGCCAGAGGGTGCACACATTTCTTTTTCTTCACAAAAACATCAGTTTTGAAACTAGTTTCTCACTGGTGATTTCCTCATACTTTTAATTCAGTGCCTACTTTAAACCTCTTGGGACTGAGAGGAAAAATAATTGTCAACAGCTGAAAATAAGTAATGGAAGAACATTTGTGAAATACATCAGCATAAAAAAACCACCAGCATCTCCCCCCCCCCCAAAAAAAAAAAACCAACAAACAAACAAACAAAAAAAACCCTATACAAAATTATTTCCTGTTTTTTCCTGAAGTTATTCTCCAGGCAACAACCTCTTCTGGTAGAACATGAGCACAGAGAGAACTGAGCAATTTTGTCCCTGAGAATGGCTTCACATCAATAATTAGAATTCAGTTGCTCTGGTATAACCTTTTTACCCCCTCCAGCTTTTCTCCCCACTCAGTGGACACAGGTACAACACACCATGGACAATGATGGCTTGTGTAACCACTACTCACACGATGCAATAGGAACCAGGCAGCATCAGTATCTTTGATTTTTCCAAATACATCTTTTCAGACTGAAGTCTTCAAAACAAAGTAACAAGTCACAGAAGGTGTAAAACACCTGAAAGATTAAACATATTAACCATAAGATACCATTCTGAAGCTCATATTCCCAAATATACAATTCAGACGTGTAGGCACTTAGGAAATCTTTCCATCTTGCTCTAGGAAGAGCTTCTCATAATTGGGTGATAACCATCTCTCTTTCCACCCTTTCTCCCCAGAAATAAAGCTCAACAAAATGAACTAGTACCAGAGAACTCTGTGTCAATAAATACAGCAGTGAGAACTCTTACTGCCTGACTTACTTGGGAGAGAAGCAGACCAGGCAACTACACTCATCCTGAAGTGCCAGGGTCAAGTGCCACCTTCACAGCAGGTGTCTACAATTCAGGAAGAAAAACAACAGGCAGATGCAGCAGCAGATTTTGTATGTGAATCTTCAGGCATGTGCGTGTGAAGAACACAGTTCTGATTTGCATTTACTGTCTGTACCTGTTCTTCTCAATAGAAGACTCTATATCCTTCTCACTATCTATTCTTCTAGCATTTTTCCCAAACCATTCAACATTATTTGAAGCTCCAGCATGTGTTTTTACTGGTAACTATTTTAACAATCAAATGCTTCTCTGCAGTTCACACCAAATACTTAACCAGCTATATGTGCATGCTGGTTGCCAGCCCATTTTCCTCACATTCACTGCTACGACTCTCTCTTCTAGTCTGGTTTCACCTACCTGTGCTGCAATTACACGTTCATTTTGCTCTGCAGACATGTTCTGTGCCACTAAAATCACTTTGTGAGAACTGAGCACAGACAGCTTGAGAAACTGCACAGGCTAGTAAAAAAAACAGGAAAAGGCCTCTTATCAAATTAGTAACATCTCGGATATTTGGGTGGAGGCATTTGGCACTGGGCTCATGTATTCTTATGGGAGCAAATACACACACACCACAAACTCCATTCTTTTGCTTCATGTTATTGTTCCCAAGCCCAGGCATGTTTTAAAAAAGCCTCTCTAAAGATGTGTAAGTGCACAATTACTACATGCTACACAGATCAGTAAGAAGGGATTTTACTCTGTCCCCTTTTCATTCTTGTAAACTAAATCAAGTTATTGGCATTTACATATATTTGTACTGCAATGGGACCACAGCAAAAACTTTTGTCCCTTTGCATAAAGAGCTATGAGAAACTATTAAGAACATTTTTAAAATGTCACTGCTGAGGGAAGACAATTGCCTGGGATAATTGACTTCTGCAGTAAGCACTAAGTGTGGGACAGTTTGTCCCTTCTGCCACATGGAATAACCTATCACCTGCTTGAGTTGGATATAGATCATTGCTGTGACTCTGAACCAAGGGGAAACCACTTCCATGTTTTAGATCCCATATATACTTTCTGGCACATAGCAGCATTTGTCACGTACACATATGCACACAACTTAGTTATACTTCAGTGTGACTTACATTACTCAGTAGAACAGTTTTACTACCTGCATACTCTTCACATCTGACATTCAGCTTGGATTCTTTTCATCCTTTCATCTCCAATGAAAACAATCTTGTAGTGGAAAGGCAAGCAAGATACTGATGCAGGCATCAGAGCAGAATCAACCTCCAGGTTCACTGGTGCTGGAAGGGAAGCTCTGATCTACTTAAAGAATGATGACATTTTTTCCAATCGATGCAATGAAAGCCAACAATTTCCTACTCGACTTGGTGCTTGTCAAATTTAAACAACAGGTGTGAGTTAAAAACACTTATTCTATGGACAGCTGGTGTTCACAGAGGAAAAATAAAACAGAAACTAAAAGAAATCCCCATGCAGCGAAATGTACATGTAACGTTAAAAAAGTGACACTAAGTTTTGCTGTTCACGCTGCTCCAGAGTAATTTCTTTATTAAGGCTTCAAAGGCTAAATAGACACGGGGAAGAGGAACTAGGAAAACAGATCTCAGACCTTTCTGGTTTTACTGTAGTTTAAATAGGGGTTCTGCAATCTCCTACCTTTAATATAGTATGCAGGTGTCCTACCCAGATCAAAAAGAACTGCTCAGTTCCTTTCAACATCAGTCTCTTTAGTAACTGAAATACACCATTAAAACCCTCACTGGGGACAGCCATTTGTTTTTTAACCCTACACAGCAAATGTCACAGCAGCTAAAGACCCAGCAGCTTTGATGCACGAGAGATCTTCTCATTGTGCAATGACTCTATAACTCTACTTAAGTTCTTCAACACTGGGACTTTGCTCTAATGGAACTGTTTGTTTGACTAAGGCTTGAGCAAACAGGCAGGCCGTGGCTGTACATACCCCATGTATGTGTATGGCCAAAGCTGTGTGGTTTGATAAAATGACCTTCTTTAAAACAACGTAGCTGAAGTGACACAAACCCCTACATGATCTGCACTCAATTTCAACTTGGATTGTACTGATTTTCCTTAATTAAATCCAAACTGTTAACAATAAGCCATTCACAAAAATAA